ACATTACTGGTAGCCACAAGCCAGCTTAGCAGACTCCCTTCACATGGTTCTTCTCCTTGACATCGAAATCTGTAGCTCGTTAGAGTATTCTGACAAGGTGGGAAAAATAACCCTCTATACAGTGCAGTGAACAAAGAAAATATTGTATTATGTACAGTTGAAGACCTGGCAAAACAAAATGCAGTGTTATAGCAGAATACTGCACAAGTGACAATAAACTTTCTAAGTAAAATTACCATTCTGCATATCAGAATGGCAGAAGTATAAGAACAATGGCCATAACAACGAGGATAAATTGGGTAGAAACAGGTAAAAAATGTACTGAAACCATAAAAGTGCACCAAACATTCATAATTCTCCTTATGGCACCTGATTCAGTGAATACTTCGTGAAGAATTATTTTCTTGTTTTGAAAGTACTGAGAGATGCAACTATCAGGAGCTGGGCTTTTTATTAACAAACCTGACAAAAATGGAGTTGTAATGAAGTCAAAGTTAAGAGCTAACAACAAATTCACTAATGACCCTGTTACTGAATGTTTGCCACAGTCTGGAGAAGACACAAACCTCAGACAAAATCTTGCATAAAGCACAATGACAGCTTGCCTTTCAAGGTCTCCCAGCTTGAGGCTTTAGGACATTTCTCCTTAATGAAGTAAGTCAGTCTAATTTAGATGGGTGATCTAATAAAGAAAATTTCACTTACAAAAATGAATACTGGGTGGAAGGAGCTAAAGGAGTGAGATGGGAAAAAAGTGTAAATAAAACTGAGTGGGGAGCCCTGCAGAATTATATAGAAACACACAGCAAAATAACTAATAATCTCTGAGAACATTGGTGAGAGGAATTTGAATACAAAAAGCAAAGATGAAATGTAGGGATACATAGAGTAAGGTTACAAAAACATATAATTTTCCTATGGTAAATTTACCACTGAACATCCTCTGCTCTAACAATAGTAGAGTGGTTCATGGTAAATTTACCACAGAAAGCCTATATTTTTGGTGACCTCAGCTCAAAGCTATCAATCTAGGAATAAGGGCAGCGTAAGCATTTTAGGAGAATTTTGTGTGCAACTTAAAAAAGCCAAGATGAATGTAAAGATAAGAAGGCATTCCTAAGAAGAGAGAGCTGGAAAACCACAGAACAGTTGGCCGGAGATCTCCTTCAGCAGAAGAATCAAATATTGTTAAAACAGGACAGAAATTTAACAGCCATATTCAAAGCAATTCTTGCTTCCTCAGATAAGAGGCTATTGGATATAGTAAGGCTATAGTTTGAATGTCAATTAATCACTCTAATACCATGTAGTAAAACATAGAAATACTGGCAGAGTGCCAACAAAATAAAATTCATCACACAGCACAGAACCTTTCTTAAGCAAGTGGTGAATAGAGTGATCATAGAAAGTCCAATTTTTTGTCTCTTTCTGTTTTGAGCAGTACATACTATTTTGAGCACACTGAATGATGTGAACAGCACAATTTGTATAAATACAATCTTCTATAATGGACTCAGAACTCAGTCCAAAGATAGTCCAAAGTCCCAGTGGGGAAGAATAAGGAGTAATGCAATCAAAATCAACCCAGAGACTGGGATTATATATATGAATCACTATATGATTGTTCACACTCCTATATTCTCTATCAGACACATTCAGAACAGTTCAAATAACCTTTGGATTTGGACATCTCATAGAGAGTCTAACTAGGGATTTATCATAAGAATGCTTTTATTTGTTCCATAATAAGATGATAAAATACAGAATATGCATATAACCTACATCTAGAACCAAATTAGAGGGACACTTCATGGGTTAGGATGATATTCAAAATTATTTTGATAAATTTTAGGATTGAACTGCAATTCATAGAGTAGAACAGTGTAAAGTAGAACAGTGAAAGACTGAAGCTGTTTGCACAAAATTAAGAGTAGTGGATTAAAAAGTGAGTAGAGGTTTAATTTACAATGTCGATACAAATCAAACTAACATCATTCTGGGGCATATTAACAGAAGCACCATATATGTGGGCTACAGGAAGTAGCAATGTCATTTTCTGTGTCAGGAGAGAAACCTCAGCTGGATAATTGTACTGTTTGAGATGCCATAGTTGAAGAAAGCTGTAGACAAACTGGAAAGAGGCCAAAAGAACCAACTATAAGTGGGTTGAAAAACCTGACTGATGAAGAGAGGTTGAAATGGTTTGTTTAGTCTAGAAAGTGGAAGATTAGTGGGAGACAGAACTGTCTGTAAATGTATAAAATGCCAGTAAGAACAGTGGGAAATTTCTTACGCAAATACTAGGTGTTGTGCAAAAACACTGGGGGACTGAAACGGTAGGTGCAGATGTGAAATTTGGATTTAGCAAGATAGCATAAGATTAGAAGAACAGTAGTATCATTAGAACACAAATACAGAAATACTAAGGTAATGCATATTACTAATTTTATTCTTTTCTAACCAAAATAAGTTGGAGAAGGATGGCAATAGATAGATATCTATTGTGGTAGTACTAGCAGTATATAATAGACATTTAGATTCAGTTAGCCTTGAATGCGACCAGGGATTTATATCTCTAACCAGAATTATGCTAGTATGGAGGACATTTGGTGTAAGGACTGGAGAATAAAACCATTATTCATAGGACATTGGTATTCTTCAAAATGTTGATCAACACCCTTTTTTCATTAGATATTCAAGCAACTATTAATTATTAACAATTTTAATGTGGTTAATAAGGGTATTATAAAATGCCTGGTCATAGAAAACAAGCTTGGATGGCATGATCATGAGTAGACTATAAATTAAACAGCTGACTAAAAACAATATATACAAGACAAAATTCCTTATTTCAGAGGGACATATTTCAGTAAATTGTGGGACTGAGAATCACTGGGACCACCAGGTTCCAGAGACCTGGCTTGTATCCTGCCAATGGTGCAATATGTAGCAGATATCTGTGTCCCAAAAGCGGAGGAGAAAAGTGTGTAGAAAAGACTTGAGATATAATGGATGTCTCTCCATCTTGAAAGACATATTTAGAATAAGTAGACACCTTACAGAATAATAAGCAAAAGTATGGAGAAGCAAAAGAACTTGTATCTCAAAATCAAGAAGTCAAGAGTAATAACTGAATGTTCAATAATGCCTGAAAAGAAATTACTTTCAGGAATAAGGTGCAGAATCAATCTTGGTTAATATTTTCATGATAACGTGGCACAAAATACAGAGACCTTCTGATGAAATGTGCCAAAGCGAAAAAACTGGAAGACATTAACAGAAAGGAATAGGGATATCATACAGTGGAAAATGGAGTACCTTCAAATCTACAGTAATACAAATGGGAAAAAATGCATAGGATAAAAAATTTAAGTCATTCATTTGGGCACTAATAACAGAAGGTTCTCCCAGAAACTAGAAACTGTTTGGAAACAATTATGGAAGAGAGAGAAGTACTGAGTTGTAAAGAGTTATTCCAAAATTACTAGTAGCTTCTAATGAGACACAGCTGTGAATTAGGCAAATGCTCTTCTGTGACATACCAAAAGAGGTATTTCTAACACAAATAGGGAAGAGCTAGTGTCACTGTACAAAGACCTAGCAAAAACGTCTATCATAGAATCATATAATGGTTAGGTATAGAAAGGACCTTAAGATCACTTACTTCCAACCTCCCTGCCATGGGCAGGGACACCTTCCCCTAGACCATGTCACCTAAGGCTCTGTCCAGCCTGGCCTTGAACACTGGCAAGGATGGAGCATTTACCACACCTTTTGGCAACCTGTTCCAGTGCCTCACAACCCTAACAGTAAAGAATTTCTTCCTTACATCTAACCTGAACTTCCCCTGTTCAAGTTCAAACCCATTACCCCTTGTCTTATCACTACAGTCCCTCTCCAGCATCCTTGTAGGCCCCCTTCAGATACTGGAAGGCTACTATGAGGTCTCCACTACTATGCACAACTACATACAATTTTATTCATCCCTCTCCAAGGATACACAACTAAAACATAAAAGGAGAATGGTTAGTAGGTTGATGAGAGAAATAAAAAGTGCATTTTACATGGAAAACTTAAAAGGCCTTGATTAATTAGAGCAACAAGAGAACTGCTCAGAAACAATATGAAGATTGTCTATGAATAGATCTGAAGAACACATACCAGGTAAAGAAGTATTTAATCTAAATAGTAATGCTGGCATAGAACCAAAATGACATAAATCAGACATGGGTATGTATACAAATTAGAGATATTAATCATTAAAGCAAACAAGTTCTTGAGCTGACTTCCTCTGGGAGTAATGGGGACAAAAAAAAAACTAACTGCTTTTATTGGACACAGTAAGTCTATGAAATGGGTGATGTAACATAGCTGCTAGTGATCACAGGGATTGAATTTGGTGGTCTAGTAAGACATCTCCAGCTGTGTGCTTCTCTCTTGTTACAGAAAAAAATCACAGATTCTTTCTCTCTCTTTCCACCAAGTTAGCATATAAAATGTTCAGTTTCATTTGCAAGCTAGAGAACAATTTCAACTTACTATTAAGGTACTAGAGCATACTAGCTAAGAAAATTTTCAAGAACCACTTGAGCAAATATTTGACATGGCTTTTCTAGGTGTAGCTGGACAGGCTTACAGAATTGGGTTGGTCTTCTGAGGTCCTTAGGCTTGTGTCTTTCTGGACTCTGGATTAGCAAAACTGCAAAAAACCCAAAGTTATTTCTGAGAAAGTTGTTGAGTAATTTACACTCTGTAACTTTTGGAGATGTTTGTAGTGGTACATTATTTATTATTTTTGCAGTGTTCAAAGTGTTCTAGGAAATTCATAATTCAAACTCAGTTCCCAGCAGGAGATCGGAAGCTTTTGGCTTTCATACCTGGGGAGTCTGGTATACGCAAAACAAAATACCATTATTGTATTTAGCCTTTTCTAGCAGAGAAAATGCAGTTTGGTGTAAGCTCCATCATAAAATGCTTTTCTTCTCTGAACTTCCTCCCAGAGTGGCAACAGGGTTCTGTGTTCCATCATTCTAGACCACTACCAGGGATCATCAATAATAAACTACGATGATGAGAATGGCAAAACATGTATGCACATTGCTGCTGCTTCAGGCTACAGTGATATTATTAGTGAGCTGGCTAAAGTCCCGGGGTGCAACCTGCAGGCCCTTGATGTGGATGAAAGGTAACCATGGAAACTCTGACTGAAATTGCTGCTTCCTTTCTATTAACCTGAGACTAGCTCTGTTTATTCTATAATGGTGTTTCCTGTTTCACAGGCCATGGTCTTGTGCACTAGACTAATGAACCGCACTTAGGGAGAACTGTGCTTGCTCAGAAGCAGTGCAAAGCAGTCCAGCCCACACATATCATATCTGGTATAATAACTGACTAGTAGGAATGTTATTTAGCTTTGTGTTTCTGGTAGGAAATGATAAGATTATGTGTGAAAGGACTTTGTCACCATTTGACTTAACTTCTTTCAATCAAAAGTAGACATTCTTTTCAAAACAATAGAACAGGATCCTACAATTTGACTAGGATCCTGCTGCTATTTGTATTTAAGAAATGGCAATGTTCCCTTGTTTCATTTAAGAATGAAACACATTCTCCCGTGTTTCATAAGAATGCTTACACAGTATTCCTTAGGACCAAGGGAACTTCACCTTCCATTTTGATGACGCATTTGATTTCTTCTAGGATGACATACCTATACCATAAGTGCACAAGAGTCATCTCCTTTACTGTTTTTCAGCCCACACCTACCTCCCTTGGAACTTTGCTCTAAAATCTATTTAATGCAAACAGAACCAACTGACTGTTCACATTGCTTATTCTGCTCAGTGGAGCAAAAGCGAACATTTTCTTGGCTTAGGCCTTCAGGTACTTAAAATAATAGCATTCTTCATGGAAAAGTGCAATAAAATGGAACAGAAATAAAACCAACAGGGTTCTGGAGAAGTTTCTAAACATCAGTAAAATGTAGCTGAGAAGGCTGTGTTTTTATGGAAAGAAGAGTGAAGGGAGGAGTTTAACTACAGTAAAGAGCTCAGTAAGACGTGACCTACTATTGCACATTCTCAGATATTTCCATAGATGTTATACTTGAAGAGAGGAAAAGATAAGCTGTTCACTGTAAATACAGCAAATTTCCATTCTATTATGTGTCCGACTGCATCCATCTGAAATCACTGGGATTGCAAAGAAACAGGCAGAAGAAAGGTTAATTTTCTTTTTCATTCTCACAGTTTTCTTATGGTGTTTTCTGTGCTTCCAGATTTTTCATAAGTGCAAAGTATTACAAGTTGGAAACTTCACATAGTTTTCCAAAGACAAGATGCAAATCTTCTGCCAAGCAGAAAATATGTTTAATTGTCATGCACATATTCAAGACAATTATATCTGCTCCAGTCTGTGCCCGTCAAAAAACACAGAAACTGACAAAGAGCCAACAACAGCCTGGCAGATGTGTCCAGTCCTTCTCATTTACCCAGAGGAGGCTTCTTTTCCAGTTACTTCCACGGAGATGCCTGAGCCAACCATTGCTAATTGTGTTTGGTGTAAAGATGAAAAGACCTTGTCCCTGTGCAGGAGACACTATGCAGGAGACACTATAAAGATCTTTTTTTTCTAATTCTGCTTTGAAAACTTCAGGGACTCTTCCCACTCTGCAGCTCCAGCAGTTGCTATTATATAGCATGTATAAGCATTTTGCAACCCCAGATCTACTTTCTTTACAGCTAAATAGTCACACATAGATAGAAGTTCTTCAGTGGCCTTATTACCACCACTGGCAACTACATCAGCACGGGGTAAGTCACTGAAGAATACCATAAAATGGATGTTGTGGATCTGGATAAGTAGCATAGAAGCACATCTCATTATGTCATTAGTAGTTTCAATAGTAAATTTATCCATTTATTTTAATGATACTCCTCCTTTTCCATAGGACACCTTTGCACTGGGCTGCAGCAGCAGGGAAAGCTGACTGTGTGCAGACACTGCTAGAGCTGGGGATAGATAGCGACCCTCGAGACATCAATGAAAACACTCCTCTGATATATGCAATGTACTGTGGGCATACAGCATGCATCAATCTGCTGTCTCAGGAGAGCAGGTAAAACAAAAGTTCACATTTTGCTCATATACTGCTAGTTACTAGAAAGCAAATATATTGCTTTTTGTTTGCTATCATAGGGTTTGAGCCCTGGGTGATGTCTTCTCGATTCATATGCAATACTCAGTTCAAGTTTTCCACCCAAGTAGCAACATTAGAATTAGTCATCTACTGAAAATTCATCACAGAGGTTACAGTGTTAGTCTGCCAATCAGTAGAGGGTTCTGAAGCAAGAAGATGTGAGTATAGATCTTGCTCAGTCGCCTTCATTCAGAAAATTTATCTTACAGAATAATTTCACCCCTCACTATTATGCCTTCCTCTTCTTTGAAAGCTCTGTAACTAGCTGTGTGTTCATTTAATCTGACATAGACTGAACACAAAAGCAGCTTTGCCAGGTAGATAATAAATTAAATTTCAAGTCTGCATCCTCTGGATAAGTGTTTAGGAGTGTTTTCCTTATTTAGTTCTCTGCCTTGATTATATTATTGAATTCTTCTTACTCTGACTTTTTTTTTCTGTTAAAAAGTATGAGCCTTTTACCACTGCTTATGATCTTCCTCTCTCTTTGTATTTCTCATGTTTCAGCAGTTGTCATTTAATTAATTTTAGTTCTTCAGCTTTGGTAAATGAGCATGCACTTATTATCACATTTCTTTGTGCTTTCCCCTCCTTTCAGTCAGAAGTTAGTATTATTTCCTATGTTACAAATTCTGAGACATGGGTAACATTTCCCCTCCTCCTCCTGCACTCTGCCTGACAGAGTAGATCTGAAATGTTGGTTAGCAAAATCTCATCTAAAAAACACTACTAAAAACACTACAGCATCATTACTGTAGGCAATTATCTTGATAGATCTAAAACTACACCAGACATCTTTAGTACAAGCAAGGCAAGGGAAAGGGAAAGGGAAAGGGAAAAGGAAAAGGAAAAGGAAAAGGAAAAGGAAAAGGAAAAGGAAAAGGAAAAGGAAAAGGAAAGGGAAAAGGAAAGGCAAAGGGAAAGAAAAGGGAAAGGGAAAGGGAAAGGGAAAGGGAAAAGGAAAAGGAAAGGGAAAAGGAAAGGCAAAGGGAAAGGAAAGGGAAAGGGAAGGGAAAGGGAAAGGGAAAGGGAAAGGGAAAGGGAAAGGGAAAGGGAAAGGGAAAGGGAAAGGGAAAAGGAAAAGGAAAGGAAAAGAGACAGGGAAAGGGAAGGGAAAGGTAAAGGGAAGGGAAAAGAGAAAGGGTAAAGGAAAGGAAAAGGGAAAGGGAAGGGAAAAGAGAAAGGGGAGGAATGGCCAACTAGTGCCTTTGTTACAGTGTTAGCAATGACTGTGCTGTTGGAAGTACTATTTTCCAAATATGACATAATACAAAGACCACTTGGTTTTAAAAATCCCATCATGTTATTCTTGTTATTATTGGATCTTGCTTCACCAGTAAGAATAATTCCGCAGCTGGTAGATGCTGAAGCCAGGAAAGTTTGTTTATTTTTTTTTTCCTGATAGCTGCACTGAGCCTACATTAAGATGAGTGTAAGGCAATGAACCCCATAAGAAAGAGTGAAGTAACATGGTATCATTTATAGTCTCTGTTAATTACAAACCTGCATTCCTAATTTTCTGCCTCCTTGAATGACTCCTGCAAATGTGTCTGAACAATACATACTCCATTTCATGGGCAAATACAGTATTTATTTATTATTTGGCAATAATGACATCACATTTTGATTTGTAATTCCAGTAGATCTGAGCCAGGTCAACAGTTTCCCTCCCAGAACAACAGACCCCCAAAGAAAGAAGGACGATTCAGTATACTGAACCATATCTTCTCTTTCAAAAAGAATAAAAATGATCAAAAAAACAGTCAGAAGGAGAAAAGCAGAGACCGAAATCCCAGAGAAGAGAGGTCAGATGTAGATGACATCATCACCACTTTTGATTGCATTATGGACACAAACTGCAAAGATAAGCGTGTGACCACTATTGGCTTTAAAAGAAGGAACACAGACACAAAGTACCTCATACCAGAAAAGAAGCAGCCAGAGTGTCAGGGACTTCTGCCCATCAGAACCCAGAGCCTTCCCCCCATCACTGTGGGCAATTCCTTCCTAACTGCTTCCCGGAGCACATCAACCTTCTCCTCCAGCACCAGCACCCATCAATTTGCACACGAGTCTCTGAAGAGGCAGAGTGAACACAACTTGCTGGACCCCAGAAGCAGCTGCCAGGCTTTGTTGGGTGATCCCTGGAACACAGGCTCCAATCAGCTATTCTCCTACTCAGCCTGCACTAGAACTCCTTCAGACAAACTGATAAATGGCTTAAACTCTGGCAGATCTCACCATGTGCGTTTGTGCCCTCCCCACCTTCCCTCACTTCCCAGTTCTTCATCAGGTAATTTCTTTTCTATCTTCCAAACCCTATAATGTCTACTGATGTAGCAAGCTGAGTCAGAAAAAACTTCTAAGTCGGACCCATGACATTCCAAGTTTTTCAATACCTTTTCCAATTTCTTCTCCCTGTATGTAGTAGCAATTGAAGATAGCATAAGTACAGAACATCAGCTGACAGCTTAAGCAAGGTGCTTAGGGGTGAGAAATAAGAGATTTAAGTAGGTCTGATGAAGAAATAAAAATACAGGTAGTCAGGAAGCACAGAATGTACCTGAGCAAGGTAAGTACCTTCAGATCATATATGTGCTTTGTGAATTGCATGGTAACACCCTCAGACACACCTGCTGTCCTGTGTCCACATTTAGTCTTGGAACTAGATGTGCAAGGGAACAGTACTGCACTCAAATCTCCAACTGTGCTGACAGCTGCTTCTGGATCCAACCAGGTAAGCCCATGTGTGCCATGCTGGACAGCTCTGCACCTTGGCACTTTTAGACTGTAGTGTCACCCCTTCTCACCCTTCCTACCCCAAGTGCCAGCATTTTGGTCCAAGGTGCTGCTCTTACAGTTTTTGCAAAGCTGAGTTCAGGTTGCTAGATTTACAGACACAGAGTAAATGCTTTTATGTTGTGGTTTGGAAACTGTAATGCAACAGTAACAAAGAAGAGCATCAGAATTCTGAAGTAAACACAAAATCAGGGGTTGACTGGATTTGGGATCTAGTACTTTGTTTGACTCATATTAATGTTTAAATGAATGTGGCTGGCTAGCCTGCATGCTGGAGTTTACCTCAACATATCAGTGTCTTCAACTTCATCTCCTTTGGGATTAGTCTCATGCCAAAATTAAACACATCTAGCGTGCTTTCCAACCACTGTAATATCCAACAGAAAATGAAGCAAACAAAAAAAAAATCCCAAACTTACCGATACACCATTACAAGAAGTAAATATTACACAATAAGTTAATCTACCCTCACCCCAACAAACAAGAGCTGCTATCTTTTACAGGAAATAGGAATGAACAGAAACCCTCTCTGAAAAGAACACTCTCAGAGGTCAGGTAACTATCTGAGCTTGCATGATAGTGCAGACTTCTACGTGAAGGGATCTATAAAATAGCAAATCTTTGTTCACATCTCTAATAATGAGAGTAGATGTGGCAATTTCAGAATGTTTGGTTATTCTACGTTGTGCAAACAAAGGCTGGATATTTTACACTGGTTTTCAGGGTTAAAAAAGTAGCTATTCAAAAAGTTCCACTTCCTGAACATCAGGCCACATTCCTGAAAATTTGGTAGGCCTGATCCATAAGTGTCACTACTTTTTTACTATGCACGCTTCAGCTATTCACTCTACCATACAAACCCCAAACTCCATATGGCTACAAGGACTGCTCCAGCATGACTCTTTCTACACTGAACTCTTCAAGGTTCAGCTCACACATGAAAGACAAGAAAATCTGCAGGGCTTCTCTACAACCCAAATATAACAGGCTACACTGAGACTGAGATATTTGAGGGCTGTTGACAGCAGAGGAGGAATGAACTCAAACTGGAAAAACCAAACCTGGGGATAACTATAGAAAAACATTTCTTCATGGGATTAGCTAGACCATGAATGCATGTGATGTGGAAGTAACGATCATGTTACTTAAAATGTGACTATAGATTTTTTTTAAGACTGTGGAATACTGTATGGTTAAATCCTTTTTTGCTCTGGACAGAAGGACAGGCAGTTTTCTGTGAACATCCTATGATAAAAAGTTGCAACCAGCTGAATCAGGACAGACCCTGAATCAGGACAGACCCTGAGCATCCATTCAGTGCTCTGTTATCTGCACAGAGACTTGGTATAGCACCCGCAATCTACATGCATGAATAAGGGAAAAATTGTATCAATTATGGGAAATCTTCTAATTGTCACAATGGGAGCAGTCTTTGCATGTCCAAAGGAGGAGTAAGTCATTTTATCCCTAACAGTTTATTATCTCCCTCAGAGAAAATAAAGCCTGAGTCTGCTTTAAGCCCAGCTCTCTGTGTACCAGCTCCCTTTAACAAAACTTTCCAACAATAAAATGATTCTTGTAGCTGGCAAAAAAAACTTCCACTGAAGCATATGAATTAAAAGCTTTTAAGGACGCAAGGAGTGTCTGACAGGAAAACATTGCACAACTCAGATACTGCCTAACATTTCTTCATGATAAAAAGATCTGCTTATCCTCCTTCATGCCTGTGTGCATGGTTTAAATCTGTTTGCCCCTGTAATGACAGGCACCTGACTTGCTGTGAATTAGAGCTGCATTTACTGTATGAGCTCCAGGTCTCCAGTGCACTGTGCCTGCAGGACTGAGAGGGATCAGAAGTAAAGTAATCCTGGCTCCAGCCCAGCCAGCAGTGCTGTGCAGGCAGCTGTCTCCGAGGAGAGATATTTCCTCATTGGTTTTTTTCTGCAGAAGGCCTAGCTGAGGGGAAAAACTTCATCTGGACTCTGAAAGACAGTGAAGTGTTAAAACTGCATTTCTCAAGTCATGACTGTGGGGGTTAAAAATAACTCCCTAATCACTGAACATCCAGGGCAGGATTATGGGTATCAATAATCTAGAGGAACTCAATTTTAAAATTATTTTCTCAGCTAACACCCAGAATTGATTTTCTTGCATGACCTTTTATTAAAGTCAGAGTTGAGTAAGCTACTAAGGCACATAGACTGGCACATAGACTGGGACTTTTGGAGGTATTTTGTTCTGGTTTCTGTGCTCCTGGAAATGAAACATGAGTCACTATACTAGCTGAGACTTTGCATTTACACAGCGGGGAGAAGTTGCTTTGGGTAGCAATGAGACTTACCTTACAGTCATGGCACTGGTTTCACTCAGAATAACTACTTTGTCTTGCCCTCCACTGGGAAGAGCAAAGACAGATTATACCAAAAACCACTGTCAATATTGCAAGAGTTTGCCAGCCACAGTGCTGAGCTGGCATCCACAATCCAAAACATTTTGTATTAATGAGCTTTGTAATCATCTCTTTTTGCAAAATGTACTGCCATCTACTTTCCACAGGGAAAATGGTGCAAGTAGAGAAACTCCAAGCAAATAGGTAAAAGGGAAACTGTCTCAAATGTAAGGCAGCTGTTAGCACCCCCTAACCAGCTGGAGCATTTTTTTTCTTTCATTCATCTTTTAGAGTATCAACCTTTGCTGAAGGTGATACTTTATTAAGGGTTTTACTACACCAGCCCAGTACCTTCTATTTGCTTGTACAGGTAATGTAAAAAATAGGCTATTATTAAGCTTATGTTGGCATAATCAGTATGGTATAGCTCAACAGGAAGCACTTTTTGGCCAGGAAAGAATAGAGCAAAGATGATTGGTGTAGCTGTTTGTTTCTCAAACTGAAGGACTGATTTACAGTGGGACATTCATCATAATATTTACAATTTTTACACAAAACACACCACAATGTGGTTCGCCTACCTAAATGCAAAGGAAAAACAAAGAACAACCTGTAAAAAATGTCAGCAAACAAAATAAAATGCAGAGCAGTCCTGCATTCTATGATAATAAATTGTACCCTTTCTATTTCATTAAAAAATAAATATCATCATAAATATGCTCTTAGGGATGACAAAGATGATATAGTAAAAAAAGAAAAACTTTTTTCTCTGATGTTACATGGAGCAGATAGAAAGAAAGGGCAGAAGAATACCTTCCCTTGATGCCAGAACTTTTAGACACAAGGATTCCATTCCAAACATTCATATCAGCCTTGCAAACATGATTACACTTTGTACTGTTGTTTTGCAGCCATATATCCCCACTTATGAAATAAATATGTCTCTTGATAGAAACAACCTCCCATAATCAAGGCCATAATGGTACATAAACCATTAGTTCTCAGCACAAGCATTATTGAAATCAACATAATTCAAATTTCACTAATGGAAACAGCAGGCTTGATACTCTGCTGTTTTGGAATTTATGTATTTATTTCTTTGTGCACAGTGGATGCAATGTCTATAGAAGAAATTTCCCAAGTTTTACACCCATTTATGGATCACCCTGGAGAAGTGTCAAAGACTAAATAAAGAGTAAAACATGGGAAAAGGAAACTAAAGTCTGTTTGTAATAGACATACCTCATCTGTAAGGAATTCTTAGTCCAATATACATCAGCTTTATGCCTGGGATCCAGTAGATTGAGCCAATGGTTATCAACTGCAGTGGTCTTTGGACCAGAATTTTGCTCCATGTTCAGCTGAAGGATGCACTATACCATGGGGATTTGTCCAATAAAGACCACGTTAGCTCCTTTCATAGAGAATCCATTTGGTCAGTAACACAGTTACAGCAGTCTTGACAATTACTTTAGTGCACTTCTAGGAAACAGTTCTACAACTATTTTCCTACAGCTTTATCTTGAACAAGCCAGCAATACATATGTACTTTTAAGTAACTACAAAGCCACAAAGGCCATTTACATAATTCCATTTTTAACTGTTGCCTAAGATGTCCTGCTACATGCAGTCCATGTCTCCCTTTCTCTCTGCGTGCCAACAGAGCATATACTTGATCTGCAGTGAGCTTACATTGCAATGCCATGCTGGATGAGCAGCTGTTTGGCAAGACAACCCAAGACTCCTTACACAGCTCATCTCAGCTCTGGGGATAACAAAAAAGAAAAATCTGGGGACTCAAACATCACTGAATAAGACCAACTCAGGAAGATGATCTGGTGAAAATGTTTATTTGGTGCTTGAATTTCCTCTTTATTTGATTTGTCATTTACGTAGCAAAATGCAATATGTCATCTATTGTATTTTCTTTTTTAACAGTACTAAAACCAAGTTAATTTTAATCATAGCCAGTGAAATGCCACAGTTAGCCAATTAACCTTTCATTTTCCAGTATCTGTTCTTGGAAAAATGTAATTGCCATTAACATAGCTTAATAAGAATCAGTAACAGTTTACATCAGTTCTGCTATGTTTTCATCTGTGGTAAAACCCTCTCAGACCTCATCTTTACTGCTGATAGACCTCCACCAGTCTCATTTACCAACCAGAAGTTGAACTCTATTTGTGTTGTAGTATTTAGAAAGGCTGAGACCCTATTAGAAAAGTTTGCAAATGAAAGCTTTGATTCTGAAATCAAATCCATCTAGTTGAATATTTCTACAAATTTAGTGTCCAAATATTCTTACATGGACCTAGCTACTGGACTGTGCCTGTTTTAAAACCAATTATTATATTATATGAAAGGAAGTGATAAGGGTACACATGAAGGTTATATTAAATCAGTCATTCTTTTAAATGAATGTAGATTAAAAAAAAAAAAAGAAAGAAAAGCTTTTTTCCATCAGTGGTTTCTTGTTATTACATATGCCTGAGAATTACTAAATCTAGGGTTTTTTCTAAAAGCCAGAGATCTACAGTGCATCATATTATTAACAATTATTTTCATACGGTAACAGATAATATTTTCTCTTTCACAGGTAAAAATTTTCAACAGATTTTCACAGACCAACCCAAAATACAAAATAATACTCCTGTACAGAACAGCCTAGCTCCCATGCCCAACCACTGTGCTCACAAACGTAAGTACAGTCAAGTCTCAGTTACAGTATCATACTTGTGTGCCTCCAGCACTGGCATCTGAGGGTTTTGAGAGAGGTTTCATGTTCCTGTTTTCACAGCACCACAGAATGGCTGAGGTTGGAAAGCACATTTGGAGATTGTCTAGTCCAACCTCCATGTCCATGGAGAAGTCACCTACAGCAGGCTGCTCAGGGTCGTATCCACCTATGTTTTAAATAACTCTAATGACGGGGACTACACAACTTCTCTGGAAAGCCTGTTCCAGTGTTTGAGCTCCTTTAGAGCAAAAAATGTTTCTTCTTAGTTATTTGCCCATTGACTTGTTTCTTTTCATAGAATACTACTGAGAAGAGTCTGGCTCCCCCTTCTCAAGGCTGGACAGTCCCAGCTCTTTCAGTCACCCCTTTGAGGTTGGACACTCCAATCCCTTAGTCATCTCCACCACCCTTTGTTGGACTGCTGCTCCAGTATGTCCATGTCTCTCCTGTACTGGAGGTCCCAGAATGGGACACAGCACTCCAGATGTGCCTTATCAATACTGAGCAGAGGGAAAAGATCACCTGCCACAATCTGCTGGCAACGCTTTTTCTAATGGAGACTGTTGGCTGTCTTTGCTGCATGGCCACATTGCTGGCTTATGTTCAGCTCATTGTCTATCGGAACTCCCAGATCCCTTTCTGACAAGCTCCTTTACAGCTGTTTGATCTTCAGCATATATTGGTGCAGAGACTTACTCCTCCCAAGGCGCAGGACTATACGTTTCCCTTTATAAGAGTCTTGTCCACCCACTTCTCCAGCCTGTGAAGACCACTCCTCCCAGTTTCACATTATTTGCAAATTTGCAGGAGGTGCACTCTGCCCCATCATCCAAGTCACTAACGAGGGCATTAAATAGTATTAGCCCCAGTATCAGCTCCTGGGGTATTCCACTAGTGACTGGCCCACCTCCAGGTTGGGTTGCTCTTCACAACCCTTTTCTCCAATAAATTTAATAGAGCTGGGCTAGTAGAAGTGATGTACATCAATACAGATGAGAGCATGGTTCTACATTTGCTTTCCAGAGCAGAGGTGACTGGAATTCTCAGAGACAGGATTTTTTGCTCTTGGTTTCACTATCAATTGCATATATTTGTATGACTCTGGAAGCTTTTCTTAGGGGGCAGGATGTAAAGAGATGGATGACAACACCCTAATGACTGCTTGGCAAAGAGAGGTCAGACATGTGAGATGAAAGCCAGGATAAGTAAAGACTCTTCTGCAGACAACATCAAAAATATGACACAGATTTTTGTGTCCTTTTGCTAGCAAAAACTAGAGAGAAGATGATTAGAACAAGAAACAGTCATTTTCTAAATGTTACATAGCTGAAAAGATTGTCTATCTCTCCCTGCCTTAAGTACAGCAGATAGAGCAGCTTTTACATGAGGATGGGAATCATTCATTTCTCTCATTCTAAAAGCAACAGTTAGGGTAGCTTCTATAACACAGGAACAAAAATAAAACAATCGAGAGAGCAGCAGCCTCTCTGTACTTTCAGCTAGCTCCTTATTCCCAAGGCAGTGAACCAAGGTCTCAAAGAGCATGGAAAGCTTCACCCTGCTCCCACAGACCTGGCAGTGTCAAGAATAAGTGAGTATCCCAGGCTGGATCCAGCCAGCAACTGGGGTGTTCTTCACATACAAACACTGGCCCTACTCCCAGCAGTGTCCTGACCTCACATTCTTGCTCTCCACAAGGCACAAATCCCCCAGTGTACTTTGGATTAGGATTTCCAGTTTACTATTTGTCATCCTACATATCAGCCAGGTCCTGAAGCCCTCAGAGTTAAACTTAGGATTCATTGCCTCTTATGATACGAGTTTCAGAAGCAATTCTGCAGTTACAACAATACTACTAAAAAGGAAACAGCAGATAGTTTTATGGGGAACATCAGACTGGGTAGGGGAAATACAGACTCCTGCACTGCTGCTGCACAGTAAGAGAGGAAGAAGAAAGTAGAGATATGTGGAATACTGAGGTGGTATTCTCTGTCTGCTCAGAGGAAGGAAAATAATCTCACTGCTTTCAAATCCCCAGTTCCAAGACTCCTATTTTTAAGCTTTCTACTAATGTTATCTGTGTTTTCTAGTTAAAACATAGTTGTAAGCAAAATCCTAAAAAAATTAAAAAAAAAAAAAATTTCATAATCACTGGTGCTCTTGCAGTAAATCATACAAATGATCGGGATTTTAGTTCTAGGCTCATGCAAAAAACCTGTGTTTTACAAATAAAATTCAGTTATCACAGTTAATAATCATGGTTTAATTGACTACCAAAGCACAGATACCAAGGTGCCCATTACTGCTTGAACATCAGTTTAAGCCAATAAAGAAATAAATTAAAAAAAAAAAAAAGAAAAGAGAAAGTTATTTGGAAAATAGATTTACATTTCGTCTTTGTTAACATAAATGACACATTTGATCCTAAAGTTTTGCAAATATGTGCTTCAGAGCCAAGATTTTCCTCATCCTCCGTGCAGCCTTAAAAATATTACTGATTTGAACACAGGAAAAATGATTTGGACATCCAGGCAAATGGCTCCAGCAAGGAAGTTTAAATATAAACATTTTTCTAACGGTTTCATTACAGAAGATGTGTGTTAAAAGCATGTAACAAAGCCAGTGGAAAACAAAAGCAACCAGGGAGTTAGAACAATAAAGTAAGCATAAATCAGAAAGAGAACTGAAACTGCTTAGAGAGTAACAGAAAGCAGAAACATCTCCCAAGAAAGGAAGGGCAATGAAAAAAAAAAAAAAAAAAGGAAGAGATATTTTAATCTCTAAGCAAAAACATTTAAAAATAAAAGTTAGAAAGAGGATAAAAGTAATTAAACAGTAGCCTAGGAAAAGAATATTTGAGTGACTTTAAACCACACTTTATAAACTTCCACCCTCCAGACACTCCCAAGGCCTAAAAGGTCCCTCAAGGGCTTCCTGAGTAGCCTCAGCAGTCTGGCATCTCTGTTATACTCTGCATGCTGCTGCTCCATCCCCTGCACACACTTTCTATCTCACCACATGATTCCCCCAAGGACACCTGGAAAACAGACTTACAACAATCACACACTGCTCACACAACACCAGAATCATTTTCCAAACAAATACGGGACTTCTAGAGAACTCTGCTGCTCTCATTTCTTCATGTAGCCTTCTAAGCCTGGTCTAAAGTTTGAAGCCATAGCGCGGATATTACTTGTTGGGGAAAAAGAAAAAATCTATTTCTGCAGGTCATTTAACAATATTTTGTGTTGATCAGTGGTTGGTTTTCTTGTTATTTGTCATGATTTGAAGTTTCTTCTTTCCTAACTCAAAAGCAAAGGACTCCACAAAGCACCATCCTCTCTGCACAGGGTCTACCATGGCCTACCATGGTCCACTGCTTGCAAAAGTAAGAGAGTCTAAGAACCATTCCTTCTGCTGAAGTACATAGTCCTTGGGCAATGACTCCCTGATTCCCATATTATTACCTCTGCAGTTTGTAATAGTAGCTACTCAAGAGTCACTACTGAGTGGAAAAGGTTCCCTGAATTAGTAGCTCTTCTTGTATCACTAGGTCTTTGGTGGTTAACTCTGCCCTCTGTGAATAATTACTGGTGCTTTTGCTCTATACAGCTTCTGGATGTATAGTAACCAGTCTTAAGGGCTGTGTCTCTCACACCCCAGTGCTGGGTCCAGGCTCCTGTGTTTCAATACATATATTAAAACTAGTCACTATATACATTATTTCAAAGCCATCCAGTCCTGATATCCTCACAGTATACCCTAAACTGAGCACAGTATGTAAGACCACATAGAAAGACTTGATATTTGGATGCTGTTTTTTACTCCTTTGAATGAGCATGGGTTTGTGATGGCTATCTGGTCATGTGAATGAAGTTAAACTACCCTACATTTGCCCTACTTAAACACATTGTTGAAGGTTTATCTGGTACAGAAAGTGTTCTGGAGATAATTTACACAGGTGTAAACTTTAATCCACAAACATATGCCTGTGCTCCAAAGAGGGAAACAAGTGAGCCTCTCTGTATGTATTTGGTTTACACACCAAAGTTTCAATGAACTCAAAGCATTCTATAATGTGCCAGAAAACAAATGAACTCATTTATTGTATCTAACCATGCCCAATTCACAGAAATTCAATACGAAATAAAGCAAAGTATTTACTGGGGGGAGGGGTGTTGTTGCTTTTTTGTTATTTTGGTTTGGTTTTCTTTTTCATGGAAAAGAGAACTAAGTGATTTCCTGAAATTTTGAACATGAATGAACTTTGAATATGACCCACAAATTACACTACATTGCCAAAGTTCTAGTAAACATCACCTGCTCAGGCCATCAGAACTTGAATTGTACTGAAATTAGCATGAAAAGAAAAAACAAAAACAAAAACAAAACCTACCTTATTTTTTATGAAAATTTGTGAAAAAGTTAATAACCCTTCCTTATTAAAACTACATAATTTCTCACTTCTGCATCCACTCCACCAGTATCCCAGTTATTCTTTTTGGTGTTGCTTGATGAGCAGTGAGAAGGCAGACTTCAGAAGGTTAACTTCAGATGTTTCTCTGGAATTACAAAGGAATTTATGTGGGTTAAGAGAGAATACTCTTCTCAAGCCCTCATTTCTGTAGAAATTCCCTGAACCTGCACCAGAAAAATTTCTGACACTATGAAATTGGAATAATCAAAGGAGCTGCCAGGAAAAATGAAAATTAAGTCAAAATTAAGAGCCTCTCAGGTATTTATCATAACAGATGTAGATGAAAGGAAATCACAGCTGGAATGAGAATGGAATCAAGGAAAAATCAATGTGAAAAAATTCAAGGAAGATTCTGTGGTGTTAACTCCAGTAAGGAACTCTTCATATAGTTAAACTGAAAACCCCAAACTGTTTGTATACAAAAAGCTTGGGAATAAAATGGAGAATAAAATGAAAAGAAGCTAATGCAATTCACAGTAAATTCTCTTCCTGCAGAGAAAAGCAGGTCTGCAATTAAGGTTTTGAACTCTCCTTTTTAAAAAAAAACAAAAGAAATTAGTTAGCAAGTTTCCTGAATGAAGGAAGTTGAGGATTTTGATTTAGAGAATATTCAGAAAAGATTCAGAACTATACTAAATTTAAAGCACAAACAATGTTACACTGCTGAGTGTGAGATGGAGATTAAGGATAATCAAAACCTACGGTTCCTTAAAAGATTTCTGACACATATGAGGCATACAACAGCTGTGGTTCTTCAGTTTCAGTGCAGGTTTTAGTGTGCTTCAGGGTAATGGTCTAGTTTTGTGGCCTGTGACTTGCAGAGCCTGTGTGGATCAATCCTCATGATTGACTGTGCCTAAAGCAACCTAGACAGTGTCCCATGTTAGAATCATAGAATCATAGAATCATTAGGGTTGGAAAGGACCTTAAGATCATCTCGTTTCAACCCCCCTGCCGTGGGCAGGGACACCTCACATTAAACCATATCACCCAAGGCTTCGTCCAACCTGGTCTTGAACACTGCCAGGGATGGAGCATTCACAACCTCCCTGGGCAACCCATTCCAGTGCCTCACCACCCTAGCAGGAAAGAATTTCCTCCTTAATGTTCTTCCATTTCATCTTCCCAAGAACTTACCCTGCGTAATAGAGCATCCTTACACACAGGTTTTGTTAAAATAATATATTTCCATGCAACATTTCTGTTTCTATCAGCCTGTGGTTTTTGATGAAAAAAGTATCTTGTGTCAATCTGTTCAAACAGACCAAGTCTCCTTCAGACAAACTATGGATTCTCTGCTTATCAAAAGTAAACCTTTGAATTTATCAAGTCTTATCAATCACCAAACACAAAGTAAATCACTTAGATTTACTGGAACACTGGAATTGTTTTCTTCAGTTGAAGATTAGCT